GAAAACGATGTCAAAGTTTACGATATGTTTATTACAGTTCTCAGTTGCGGCTATTTAAAAACATCAGGAGTCAAGAGAAGGTACAAAAAATAGGTTGCGTTCACTTCTTTAGATTCTAATAGGCGTGTGTTGCATTTGCGGGGTAATAACTGTATCTAATAGCATAGCGTAAGGCAAGCAAGTAGGACAAAGATCGCAACACCGCATCCAGAGGTTAACTTTCAAGGACGGCTAGCTTAATTATTGAATGTTACGTACGTAAGTACCGTTTCGAATTTTGCATGACTAAGAATTAACTAGAAAATTTAACGTAGAGCGTTGAAAAAATCAATAGTAAAAATAAATATCATTTTAATATATTTATTGAAGCTCCACATTAACTTGAGCCGTTCGACAATTTAAGAAGAATCTTGAATAAAATCTAATATTAATTAAATCATTTTAAAATTAGCTGACGTATTTTGCACATGTAATTAAAAAATCCTTTATGTTAATAAATAAAATAATAAAGTGTACTACTTGAAAATTAAAGAAAAGTTTAAAAATGATTGTGAGAAATCTATTATTATCTAATACTTTATAAAAATTAAATCGATTATTATCTAAATTATCTAATATGGCCTAAGTGGAACGTAATTTTAAATTTGTAAAATAATTTAACTAAAAATTAGAACGCCGAAATATTCGGATTTTATTATACATATACTTAACATTCATTATAAGTTTCCCCGCAGTGATAAATCGGAAGATAATTTTCAGCGGGACTAAACGAAGAAAGCTCTTTGAATAGGCCAGATTAGTGATAGATTTTGGACATAGTTTAATTCGTAAAGCGTAAATTAACCATGGCATGTTACAAAGTAAACAATACAGTTTTGCAATGTTAGGCGAAACGAAACATCGAGCGTTTCGTTACTTAATCGAGTCCCAATGTCACAACGTTTCTGAGTTTAAAATGTCAGTAATCTTTGCCCCGAGTGCTACGGAACTCGATATTGCCCTGTTGTATTTAGTCGAGCTATAACACGATCACTTTGCAGCTGCCGAACTGTGTTCCACTTTAATGACAAAGTCAAAGTCGCAATTGATTCATTTAATTTAACCTTGGTCTACCAATTTCATGCTAGGACTGATGTAACACAAACTCTTTTCGATTTTTTTTAACGAAACCGAAACGAAACGAAAATCAATACCATAAATGATTAAATACCCTACCAGGTATCGTGCCAATACATTGCAAAAATAATTTATAACCAATAAGAACGTGAATTTTTTGAACCTTGTTTTATGTTCTCGGTAAATGTCTGATCATTTTGTCAAAAAGAAAAGTCCTAACATTTATTACATTACCGATGCGTTATACCGTACATAAAATAAACTTCAAAGTTAAAGTCAATCTCCGACGTTTTTACAATTTCCAATCTATTCGTATGGAGTTCAAGTTTTACCTTTTCCCGGGACGAGGTGGAAAACAAGCGGTTGTATCATCTAAGGTCCAAACCGCTGCCGATAGATACGAGAATACTCGATATCCTGAGTCGATTTTGGTGTATTGCCATTTGAAAACAGTGGACCCCAGTCACCTCATACTTACATGTTACATGCTAACCGAAACGCTGCAGTTTAATACCTGCACTATACGCTGGTCTTCCGTTCAGTACTTCCTGAACAAATCTGTAGATGCCCAGCGGAAGCTTTTGCGTGACCCTACCACAGTGTACCATCGCAGAACGCTGCGTAGCACCAGCGCAGCAAATACATTAAAATCCGTATTAAATTTAAGTCTCGAGACGAAACGTTGCTCTCGGCGCATTGCAAAACACTTCGTTACGGTCTCAAAACCCGAAAACATTTCACATACGACTTTAAATACACACTTAATGAGTACGACCGTGAACTTTCAGTTGACCGGCATTACTAAGAACGAGGAAAAGCTCGAAACAAATAAGGAGATTATGTTGGAGTGAATGGGCTTTTACTGAGCTGGTGCGTTTACGAACAACGGCTACATCGGTATGTCGCCAGCGATATTTCCGGACCGAAACGACTTTGGAACCGAGGGAGGAGAGCCTAAACCTACCTCGAAGGCCAGCAACGCAATTGTGACCCCTCCAATGCTGCAAATTTGCCTTTTGTTATCGTAAAAAAAGGAAAAAATATTCACGTATCACATTCTGGCTAGTTTGACTATTCAATCTAGATTGTGATAAAAAGTATCACAATTTCTCAATTTTTTAATGGTCAAAAGTGTAATGTTTATTTTTGAACTGTAATACGTATTTATTTTTATTGTATTAACTAACTTTGTGAATAAAAAAAAAAGTATTTCCCGCCTATAACTTCGACTGGAGAACAAAAAGCATATCGCTTTAGAGCGTCGGAAAACGGACTGTATCCGAAAGACAAATTGCTCAAAGCTGACATGAGGTTCCTCATCAAACCATCCTCATCAAACCATCACCTTATCAAACGGCGACATCACGGGCGAACGCCTGTAATTAATATTGCCTGCGCAGACGCTGATGAGTTCATTGTTTGAAGTGGCGAACGAAACGCTATTGCACAACTGTACCGGACTAAACATTCAGCTCACAAGGACACCTAGTAAGCGGTGACCGCCTCTGCGGCTACTTAAGTGTAAGAATGTATTTGACGTGTTTAGTTGATGGCACTAGAAGCTGTCCTGTCTGCGATTTAAAGCCGCGGACGGTGATGTCACGGAGAACTAAATAAACCAACATACCACTTGAAAAGTTGGCGTTGTTTGACTCGATGAAAATTCGACAATAAATTCGCCACGTCGCTAAACGGACAAATAGGACACGTGACATTATCAACGTCGTATAGACTTAGTGGTCGGTCGAGAATTAATTCTGACCGAGGTGGATACAAGTTTGTAATGTCACAACCAATAACCCACACCCATACGCCTCGCAGTCTATTCTGTTTTACGCAATTTAACATCCGAACCGTAGTGAAAATCGTTAGATTAGCTCAGTGAATAATAATGCGATGATGTATTGCGAAAAACTTTATAGAAATGCATTGGGAAATTGGGGAACGATAGTAAGCTATTGATTTAGAATAGCGTGTAACCGAACTGCCTAAAAGTTGCGAAGCTCGAGCGTCACGGCGTTCGCAATTAGATTTTCCACCTTCAGACATCCTTGTGCGTTTCTGCATTGTCATCACGTAATTGGGAATTGAAGAAAATGTTGTAAGTCGAAAATAACATATGCCGCGTTGTGTGCGTTGCCGCAAACTCTTATACAATGATGTCGACTGTACAAATGGCTATGTGTTCCGCATTTCTAGTGAGACTCATTTGAGCAGGACGTTACGTGCAACGGATGCCCACTCGACCGATTCGTTTACCCAAATAAGTAGCAGTAACGCAAATGCCCTAATGATAGTTATTGCAACGCTCATTCATTAGGTACGATTCGATTGTTTTAAAGCAACACTACAATTATATTAAACTTCACAAACGAAGTGAAAACAACACGTACATCTGCAATAATCGAATGAAGCTTGCATCGAGCAAGAACGCGTAGTTATTTTATCCTACAGTTCCCGCAATTGAAGCCAGTTGTAGAAAATTCTTACTTAATCAGTCAAGGACGCCGTGCGGATAGTATTCAGACTCGGTTTAGTTGTTTAATAGATCCTAACAAGGTCAATGTCCGGCGAAGAGACTATTATAAAAGAAAGGCTCTGCAGCACTCCTTCGCACGACAGGTTACTTACCCAGTTTTAGCGCTATTAAAAATTCAACGAATCTCACAACTTTCACTAACAGTCGGCCAACGTATGATGCTCCTTTGGACACTACCGCCACATAAACAAATAGCGTTCATTCATTTTGTACCCGTTGTAGGTCACAGTTAAAACGTACCTTAACTTATATTTGTAGTACGAAATTAATTGGGAAGCAAAGGATCATCATGAACCTACTAATGGTATATATTATGAATTAAATTTATGAACGATGTGGTTTTTAATGACAATGCTAACGGTCGCAATCGATACTTAATTTCTAACGACAACTTAATTACTTAAAATTAAGTACACCGATCTTAGCTAATTTTCTACGTAATTTAAAATATAATGAATAATAATGAAGTTCATTTACTTAGCAGGAAATAGTGTGCTGTATGTAACCTTTTTCCTTTAACAATAATCAGAAATACAACGGCGCAAATGGGAGCATGACTGCAAAGAAATCGACTGGTAATTCAATAGCTATTGAAGGTGCAAATGAAATATTAATGCGAAAAATAATTGTTGCTTAGAAAGTTTTGTGTGACTCGTCGAGATTGTACATTGCATGCTCGCACGGCGCGCTAGAAAGCACGACGCGGCATAAGGAGGCAAACGTACAGCACAACCGACAAAACAAAATGTACTAGACAACACTAATATAATTTTAATCATTAAAACAAAACCATGTACAATGTCTGATAATTCCGGAACCCTTGACCAAATATCACTGGCGACATCTAATAAAAAACATCAGCACCTTCTGATAAGATAAAACTATTTCAATTGTTGACCTTCGAAAATTTTGGTAGCGGAATGTAAAACTTTATTTTCTTTCGATGGGCTAGTGTTAAAGTAAAAGTTGTGAATACAGAGAAAATCGGTAGTCGAACTCAACAAACTTGTAACGCGGGGGAACCGACGACCCGGAGACTCGCGAAGGTTTCACTTTTAACATTTCTTCAAATAAATGATCGAGCTGCTTTCTTCGTACTGATACTTTATAAAAACACTAGTATTTTTATCCAATGTGGTCACAGATTAAACTTCAGGTTTTAGGTTGCTAAAAATATAGATCAGCTGACTTTTAGGTTAAATGTCATGTAATGTTATGTAAAGAAAATACTTCTGTAATTACATTACATAAATTTGAATTTAAAAAATAAAAACGCTAATTACGCCATAGAGATATTTAACATTATGAAAATATAACAAAATTTCCAGAAATCATGATATCTAACCTGACATGTCCGTCCAAATATTCGCAATGGAGTTGGTCCTGGTGGTTTTAGTTTCACAAATACAGTTTGCCTTCGAACTTTATGTCCGAATTGACACATTAACTTATCTTGAACACGAGCACAGAGCCTACTCGGACTTAAACACGCCATAGCTACAACTGCTACGAGACGCTTGCGGACATGAACTACATAACACACATAATACATAGGCGCTGTGCCTTTTTCTCCCCACTCAAACCAGCTGATTGTCATTAGCCATATTAGTCAGTATTGCCATTTAAATAATTTACGAAATTAATTGTTACGAACAATTAATTCGATAATTAATAATTTTATCATAAACAGCAATAATATTCTCATCACAACTATTACATGACGTTTCAACATTATCGTAGAGAATAGTAAACTTTAGTAACAATTACAGCCTATCATCAACTTATAGTCAAAGTAAAATATAAAATGTAATAACGTAACATGCAACCACAAACAGTACACACATACATTGTACACAAACACGGAAGAGAGCGCTTTGTTTTATTAGATAGAGAAATTATGCTTCTTATGGCGCCTTTGGGAAAAATTATAAGAGCATAATTTTCACGATGCGCGCACAACTACAGTAAAAAAAGTGACTTCTTAAAGTTGGTTGCAAAGCGATCAACTTCACGCTTTAACCACAATAACAACTTTTTTTTAGATTTACCTATAATAATAATAATGAATTCCAAGTTACTTAAGCCGTTATCAATTGCCTTTAATGTCTTTTTCAAAGCAAATTTTTTAGTTATCTTTCTTTTATTGCGTTTAAGAACTATAACTTCTTGCATACGTACATAAGTACACACATACTTTTTTTAATTTTAATCATACTGAGCATTTGTAGCTGATGGCAATGCATAGTTCGTTTCATCGGACATTGTTTGTTTGTTCGTTTTCTATGTGTACTTACTTACCATTACTTATCATTATAGAGTATGGGGAGATGAGGAATAGTAGTATGTGGATTAACTAAGAATGCGCACAAATATGTATAAAACACGGAATTAATAAATAATCTGATAGGCATCCTGATGTACGATGATATTATATCAAAGTCAAAGTCAAAGTATATATTTTTTTTATGTGAAAAGTTGTCAAACGAGCAGACGGTTCACCTGATGTTAAGTAAACACCGACGCCCATGGACATCTGCTGCATCCGAAGGTTACAGAGGCGTTGACAACTTTTTGAAAATTGGGCTTGAAATTTATTCAATATAGTCATAACTTAAACTCATATTGAACGTCAACAAAAAATCTACCACCGGTTCATCAAACTAGATCTGCACAGAGAAGAACCGGCAAGGAACTCTGCGGTCTTGTTCTTTTTTTTTTTTTTTTTTTTGATACAATTATACAAACTTATTTAGGTATAAAATCATTTAAAAGCAAAAGTCATTTATACATATTAGAGGTATATGCAAATTAGAGAATATGACCCTAATGCATAGAAACTAAGGCACTCAATTTACTGACCAGAGTAATTTACTTATATAAACAGCAAATATCTATTAATGAATATTATTAATGAAATGTTAGTTAATAATGTGTTCTTTTTTAATTATTTTAACTATTTGTAATGAAACGGAATTAAATTAAGGTTTATTTAATTTTCTTCAAGAAAACGGAAAATTCATTTAAACAATAACTTTGAATACAATACATGGCTTTCTTTGGGGCTTTTGAAAATTACTTTAAGGGTTATTTAAGGCTATTTCATCTTGACTCAAGGGCCATTTTTTTTAGTAGTTGGCAACACTGCTTTTCTGTCAATCTGTCATATTAACCATTCGGATTTAAAAAAGTACTCTTTGACAGACTTTGACTTCTCCGTGGTAGGTAATATATAGGTTGGACAAGTGTACAATTTTACAGAATTTTAAGTACTATAGTATAGTTCTTACATATTACACACATTTCTGTTATTATATACAGTTCTCAGTGTTCTACTGAACACAGTATTACTACATACTTAACCTACATCTACATATATAACCTATCAGGTTATTTTTATTTATTTGCAGAATCGAGAAAAGGGACATTAAAAATGTTACCAAGATTTGGATCGGCACTTAACATGCTTAAAAATCTCGAAAGAAATTTATTTCATATGCTGGGACATCCACCAAGAGGTTTGTAAGTTTTACCCAAAGACAAAGCTTGTTCAATTGTTAGAATTGATAAGGACATACAATACGTTTTAGATATTCTCTAAAACGTATTGTATGTCCTTATCAATTCATCGTTATTTGTTCTTTAGTATGATAATTTTAAATTCTGTTTTTATTTGACTACAATGTTGAGAAATTTACTGTAGGGGAGGACAGATAATTCAGAAACAGTCTTATATCCTGTATTAACTGTCAACGCTTTCAGTTCCGAGACTATTAAAGCTTCATTGAACGCAGAACCAGTGGGCTAGTCAGAACCCTCGAGTTTGAGATTTAACCCCAACAGTACTATTATGAAAAAATAACATGCTAGTTATTTTCTAAATGATAATTACATTGTTGCCATAACATTAAGAAAATTTATTAAGATAAATAGAGAACCTACTAATACCTTTTTAGTAAACTCAAAATTAATGCATTTTTTAACTTGAAGCACATCTATATTATGTATCGATACTTCAATGAGTTCAACATTAATTTACTTTTCAGAATTAGCCTTAGTTCAAGTATATGAGAAACAAACCCCAAATAGTCGGAATCCATTTTCTATAAAAGACATCATAGGCGATGGCTTATTGTTGGCAGTCCCAAAGTTTAGAAGGACTATAGAAAAGAGGTTAAAAAGGAAATTTGGGTCTCCTGAATATGTGTGGAAAATGCTTGTACCGAAAAACAATATCAAAGTGTGCAATGATTGTGGCCACTATCATGAGCGGGGACGTCTTTGTGGTAATTTGCTGGATATATGACATTTTCAAAAGACATTGTATTCATTGATTTGGAATTTATTTTATATTAGCAAAATGCTTATTTTTCACAGCAAACTGCTATAAAAGAGTAGAAAATGAAACAAAGGAAATTCAAGCTAAGATACAGGAAAAATTAGGTAATAACCCCATTGAGCAGGATGTTATTGTGCTGTATGAAGGTGAAAATGTCACTAAAACGGTAATATAATCTCACTAGAATATTATTACAAAAACTAGACTGTTTTTTAAAATGGTTAACTGCCTTTTTTTAACCGACTTCATAAGGAGGAGGTTATCAATTCAATTGGTATATTTTTTTTTACTCATAAGTATTAAAATGATACTAACTGCGGTAGGGCCATTTGTGCAACAGTTTTCACTGACACAAGTCAATTCGTTATAAATTTAGCAATAATTGTAAGCAGAACAAATTGGAAAATAAGGCATTGTTATTGATCAATGGTTTTATTAATTTTATTTAAATATTATAAAAAAGGGTACACACTATATTTAGTGATCATTCATTGTAATATTGACATCAGTTTAAGAAAAACTAAGAGATCATTTCCAGATATTTGTTATAAAGCTTAAGAAAACAAATTGACAACCACTTTTTTTTTATTGATCAATTGAGTTAAGGGCAAATGCAACGGGCATCCCACATGAAAGGTATATTTTTAATAGAATTAGTGTATCGGTTATACTTAAAAAATTCTAAATATCTTTGCAGCCAAATGAATTTTGGGAAGGAAAAAGAATAATTGAAATGAAAAAAGAAAGACCACAATGGTTCAGTAAAAATTTACTTCAGAAGTCAACGCAGCAGCCCTCTAATTCCACAGATGTTAAACCAACAGATCTGGCTTAAATTTTTATAAGAATAAATGATACATATTTAAGCTGCATTACTACTTTTAGTTTTGTAGAATTAAAAAATGAAGTGTTTAGTATCAAAGTAGTTTTAATTACACTAATAAATACTTATTGTTATAACAAAAAAAAAAAACAAAAGCCTTAACTTCATTACAGTTTGAATATTATTTTAACTCTTAACTAACATTTTCAAATGAATTAGGAGAATTATCCATATTGTCTGTGAAAGAATCTAATTCATTTTCACCTTTAAAATGTTGTTCTACATGAGACTGAAAATCTGTAAAATCAACACTTTTCTTAAATGTCTGCCCACACATGGGACAAATTTTATCAAAATGTTCTATGGTATCTTCTAAACCACCATGTTCTGAATTGTTTTGGCCCACTGATGAACTTACTTCATCAAAGTTATTATAATTTGTAGACTGCATAGATATAGCTAAATTAAGAAGGCTACCACTTGTTTCAACCTCTTTGTTTTCAGTGGATGTTGTTCTTGAATTGTTGCTAATACATGTGGGGCATTTGTAGCCTTCTGGAATGAAATTAGCACAAAGTTATACATAAATATTTTCAATAATTGAAAAGGTCAATTAGTAGTAGTATTATAGTTCATTCAAAACAATAACAAAGACAAAAGTATAATTTATAATGATAGCAAAGAATTATTAGATACCAAATGTGTTACATTGTACTTTGACATTGCTATTAAATATTTCATGTTATGATCAAGAAAAATATGGGCTAAGATATGTATAGAAGTGTAGAACAAACAAAAAGATATTCAATTGTATAATACTTTTGCTTGTTTATAATATTGTGAAAACTACATATCACAAAAAAATCCTAAAAAATAATAGCATTCACCGAGTTTTTTTATTATTATACCAAAAGAAATTAAATAAGATAGTATTAATAAGTTGTATGTTTATATATTGGCATATAAAAAGGTAATAAAAGATAATGAAATTTACTCAGAAAGGAGGCATAGGATAAACAAAGTAGAATACTAATTCTATGTGATTACCAGCCTTTAAAAACAATAAAGCCCAATTATCCCACTCACCAGACAAAATTCAAAAGTAGAATACCTCTGCATCATGCAAGACTTCTGTGAAATTGTGGTATTTCCTCAGATGAGTCTGACCATTCAAGTAATTGTAATTACTGTTAGCAAGTAACTGTTGTATTGCCTACCACAGTGATATTTAAAATATCCACCATTTAACATTACAACATAATTAATATTGCTTGAACTGAGAATTCTCAGAAACCTAAAAGTAATACCAATTCAATTGAATGTGGTTTACTTAAAAAAAATTAATAGTTAATGTCATTCACTATTAATTTTAGTCAGCAAGTTTGTTTATTGTCAGGATAATAAACAAACTAGTACTGTAGATTAATTATTAATATTGACTTTACTACAAGTGACTTCATACATAATATTCATATCTAATTGAAATAAAATATTCATACCTAGTAAAACTGACTCCAGTTTTGATATCACTAATTTTAAATCATTTTCTTGTTGGAAAAGCTCTTTCTTCATCTTTTGCAGTTTCTCTGTTTGGTTATGTATTTCTTTTAAAGAATCAAATGCAGGATCTTCCATATAGGTAAAACCTATTGAGTCTACATTTAATATGTCTTCATCCATTTCTTGAAGTTGTGACATTTGTTCATATTGCTCCACTAATTGTGATTTTTCTTGAATATAACTGTTGATTAGTTTTAAAGAAATCTCTTCTAAACTTGATTCTGAATACTTTTCTTGATAATTAGAACTACATTTCGGTGTGCTATAAGTGTTGGTACGAGACAAATGTTGCTTAGAAATTTCTTTAGTATATTTATCTTGGGATTTTAATGTAGAAATTTTGTTCCATAAATTTTTGTTCTCGCAGGAAACCATAAAAACATGATGAATGAGTTGTGATTTTTGTTTATTAAGTTGTGCAATATTTTGTTGAAGTTGATGTTTTTCATCATCTTGCAAAGGTAAATAAGGCGAATTTACCTTACTAATGTCTAGTTTCAATTTCATGTTGTCATTTTCTAATGTATTTATTCTTCGCTGCAAAAGTAAACATCTATCTCGCATAGCATGCAAGGCCAATTCGTGAACACTGACATTATTGTAGTCACCTTTAAGAGTGGTCTGGTATGTTGAATCATTGTTAAAGCTCACAATTGAAGAAGAATCCATTATTGAAATTCTTGGTACTTTTTTGTCATTTTTTTATATTCGATAAAAAGGTAAAGTATAAGCCAGATTTATTACCATGTTTAAATATTATCCAGAAATAAATTAATATAGGTTTAGGTATAATGTAATATCAATAACATCTGTGAATGTAGGGATGCCCAAAAAAATAGCGATATATCAATTTATTTTAAATATATCGATATTTTTGGCCGAGATATTTTGATATAAAAAATTGAATATTGAAATCGTACCAGAGTTTTATTTTTATTCAAACTGATTCAAAGATAAAATGAACGGAAAAAACTGTGGTCTATTACTAGTATTGTCAAGGGTGGTTGCATTTTGTACTATAATTATTGTATTTATACTACATTTTGACGCTTCGTTCTTTATACTATAGTATCCATATCTTAGGTACAACATGGTGTAGTGGTGTTACAAATCATTAATATTGAAGTAAACATTATGTTAATTTATAAATAGTATGCAAAATATTAATGGCATCAACTAAAGTTAATTTAATTTATTATGTAAATATAGTTAACAAAAATTTAATTATAATCAAATTCGCAGTAATTAAATGTCACATAATGTAATATCGAGTTATCATAAAAAAATTATTTGGCGTCATAAAAATTATTATCATCGAACCACATAAGTAACTTTTTTAAATTATCGTTCAGCTTTTTCATGTCTATGAAATAACTATACTCGATGTTAAGATACATCGATTTTTCTATTCGATGTATCAGAAAATATCGACACGTTGCATATAAAAAAAAACCTGATGTATTAACTAAATGGACACCCCTACTCAGCTGTCAGTGTGATTATGTATTAGGGATGAGCAATATTTATCGATATCAGTGTAAATCAATATCAAAGTTAAAAATCGATATCTTGTGAAACATCGACATTGCCTCAGCGGATCTCTACCACAAAATATTCTTGAGCCTCTGCAATTAACATTGAGATGATTCAATAAATTTCTTACTAGGAGTCACCAAATTTGCTCTTGCTCTACTTCTCACAATATTCAACTATGCTGACGACAGCTATCTGGATCTAACTGTAGTGTGGCGACTCATTTGCTACTGTGTAGCACCGCTCTTATCTTTTACACCCTTACTCTCATCGGTCTAGCATTACCCTATTATTGACAAATTTCTATAGCAACGAGTGACAATAAAAGATGATGTTTTTCTCAACACGGCTTGTTCTTTGTACTGCATCTTAATTATTCCCTCCTGCCGGCTCCCAAAGTAGCAACTGTAGCAACTTGTTAAGCTTGAGCGTTCCCAAAATTTCTGTATAATATTTATATTTGGCTTATGTAAATATGATCATGTCTCACAAGAAACGATTTGATTTCTTACATGAATCCCATCCTCAGCTTCTGCCAGTATTGGCACTGTTCACAGGGTCGTGGCAATGTGCGAAAACGTTACCGTAGCTCTGCCGATATGCACCCTAAGCGGAACATCGTAAGGGTTTAGTTTGTGCGAGTCGAATCGAAAAATCGAAAGAAATTTCATTGATTCAATCGGTTCGACCATTGACACTAGAGTCATTGTAAACTGAGCCGAACTCCATCAGTCGGACACATGCCTATTGCCTAGTTTACATCAGTGACAGTGCTGTACATACTGGTTTATCATTTAATCATTTACCTAACTTGTCTAAGGAAGATTACTTTAGTGTTTGGATGGAATGTATTTTTAGCTTTTGTCATTGCATTTGTAAGTGTTAAAAGTCTCTATACATTGTTCAATACCTTTTTCACAGATTCAGTTTATATTTGTACCTAAGTGTTAAGGGTTTTTTCCCAAGTGTTTGTTACACTTTGTTCTATAATTTTTCTTTGGTATGACTTAATAGTGATAGAAGTGGATTTAGTGAATCAGAGTACAAATAAATAAGGCACTTAATTACTGAATCAGGGTAAGTTATTTAATAGTAGTTATAATCTCTATCAACTACAGTACAACTAAAAATTTAATTGAGAGTTTAAAGTGTCTATATTATATTGTCAATGTTGTCTTGCATTGTATTTTCATTAACATACCCTTTATTGCTTTTCAAGTGAAAATTATTAAGTTTTTATAAATAAGGATCATTGAGAGAACCTATTTACTAGTGACCAGCCCTGGCTTCACATGGGTGCAATGTATTATACATATAAACTTTCCTCTTGAATCACTATTAAAAAAAATCGCATCAAGATCAGTTGCATAGTATTAAAGATCTAAGCATACATAGGGACAGACAGACAGAGGGATGATTTTGTTTTATATACTATGTAGTGAATAGAATTGTTGTTTACATGATTTATTTGAAGGCATTGCTTTAGTATACGGTACCACGCGAAGGAAGGGGGCAGGGGCCCGGGTGGGGAAGGAGGTGAGTGGTGCACCCTGCAGGTGCGCTTATGTATACTTTCTGAAAATTATAAAACTATCCTAACCTATTCAATGTTACTATGGGGTGATATTTATTTATAATTAGGTGGGGGTCAAGGTCCTTACTTAGCCATGCTATGTGGGGCTCCTATTTCTGGGTGGTTATTAAAAAATAACCATTCTGACCTAACCTGTCCAAGTCGAATTCCTATGAATCGGGCTTGTCAACCTTAATGATGATATCAAAAATTTTACCAACTTGAAAGACCATTAAAATATATTACACCTGTATTATTATACCTGTGTTACATTTTGATTTTCAATATTTTCAATTTATAATAGAAAAAGATTAACCATAATAAGCCGTAATTTTGATTTGGTATAACTTATTAAAAAAAGAGATATTATCATTATTCCTTTCTAATGCTTTAGAATGTAATTATGTAAATATCTTGAGCCAAGTAGTTAATTAATAAAATTTAAAAAATTAATTTCTCAAAAAATATAAGTTTATACAGAAAATCCTACTAGTATTTACTCCAATGGCCTATTACTTACTTATTTTATTATAACGAAAATTGTGATAATTGTGAAAAATCTGATATCTTCTATAACTACTCACAATTCTTTTAAAAAAAGGTTAAGTTTCTTCTACATTACATACATGACTAATAGTGCGACTAGGGGGCATCCATTAATCACGTGAGGGCGACGGGGATTTGCCAAAAATCACGAAATATCACAAGGGGGAAGGGTGCAGTAAGATATTGCATGTATTTATTTTTTTGTCAAACATGCTAAACCGAAAAGTAGTATGACCTGGACTCGCCTTTACATTATGGTCCTTAATTTCCGAATAAAATTATCTAACTCTAAATCTGACTTTAAAGATAATTTTCTGAAAATTTTAAGATTCTTCATAGGAAATAAAAAAAACACGTGATTTTTTTTGGGGGAGGGAAATTAATAAAATGGGGACTTTCTTAGTGAAAATAACAGGTTTACTGCATGAATCATGAATAAAATGATGAAGAAAATATTTAATGGCAGTTTTTGCTTTTTTTAAGTATAAAAATAATTACAATCACGAAATTAAAAAAAAAACATTATAAAAACTGAAAAAAAAAAATTTAGGTCATATATGGGTTCGTATGCGCCCAAACAAATTTTAATCGAAATTACTTTGGGCATATATGGGTTCATATGAAGTAAAGAAAGGATTAGAGATTTTAGTTTTAATAATAATATAAATTACCACTGTAATTTTAATCATGAAATGCCGGCAAACAGTTTCGTTTGTCGTTGTAACATAAGAGAAACATACATTTGCACATGGTGTAAGTTTTGTGGTCGCAAAGAAGAAGACATTTTTGACTTTCAGGCAAATCATCAAAAATATTTTATGATTTGCAAGTCTTTTTAATTTTTATCGGCGTGGCTAGTGGAGGGTCAGTTTTATTATCAGTAAAGGGTCAGTTTTGTTATCAGTGGAATCACTATCTGTTTCGAGTATAACAAGAGATCTTCTTTGAGTGACGTTTAAATTCTTTAAATGGAACATAATTTCTATCAGAATTGGAAGCTTAATTCGCCACCACTTTGTAGGCCATCACCAGATATAGGATTAACATACTTATTAGAGCCATAAAGGATCCATTCAGCAACCAAGGAAAATTAATTTCATGCTTATAACAAAAAATTACAAGTGCATATGTAACCATATTTGGTTCCGTAGTAAAACAGTTAGTTTAGGTTAGAATGCATGCGAAACTATATACGGTTTCACACAAAAAGCTACAAAACATGATAGAAATAAGAAAAAAGTATCAAACAAATAAAACATACTTATAAGAATAACAACATTATATTTTAATTTTTTAACCAACGAATCTTGCCTTTTTTATGTAGAAAAACGTTTTTAGAAAACGAATTCACAGCCACTGT